TGTCTGATGGCACTTGATTGGTCCGCCTGTCAAAATTAAACAGAAAAAATGATTAGTTCTTGAGTGTTTCATTCATTCAGTCACATTTATTAGAGCTTACCATAGCAGACGGCGATCTTGCCCACGTCGGTGCCCGCGTCGATGCAGTTCGCCTGGACGTTGCCGCCGTGGAGGACGCCGGGCACGATCTGCACGCGCTCAAAGCGGGCGCTGAGGATGACGATGTTGCAGCCCGAGCAGTAGGCGGTGAAGTGGATACCTTCGACGCTGCCCGACGAGTAGGTGTTGTCGCCCGAGTTGACGGCGCCGGTGAGAATCTGGTGGCACTTCATCGTGGTGGTGGTGGTCGTCCGTTCAGCTAGGCTAGGCTAGGCTAGCTTCTCTTCTCTGCCACCACCACACCTCAACTCGGCGTTTACGGCGTTGGTGTTCGTAGAAAAAAAAGTAGTGGTAGTGATGATGATGATAAAGTTGAAGATGGAGGCGATTTCATGCGTTCGGATATTGTCTGAGAGAGAAGTGATGCTGATGATGCTGAATTCCTTGACCAAAATCAAAACGCTCTGTTGGAGAAAAGAGAAAACAAATACGGTGAGATGAGAATCGAGATGGCAATAAAGCAAATCAGAAAGTTGGAAAGCAAACACACATAGACACACAGACACGGACATAGGAGGAAAGGAAATCAAAAGTAGCTGCTAAAACAGAAGGGCCGCGATTTATTAGCAGAGGAGAGATTAAAGAGCAAGTTGAGCAACTGCATGACAATAAAAAAAAGCTGAGCAAACTCTCTGCTGGTGCTGCTGCAAATCAGTGATGAGAGAGAGAGAGAGGGCGAGAGTTGATAGAAAAGAAATGCCTTAATGGCCACAGCAATTAAAAAAATTAGTGTGATGATCGACGGTGATAGAAAGTGAGAGCCTACGGATAGGCCACTCGGCTACTCGAGAGTGAAAGTAAGATCTCATCTACCTCTTCTCAACACAACAAGGCGCGGTGGTTTGAGTGACGCATAGATAACACACACACACACACACTGGAGCGACTAGAGAAGCTCATAGTGCAGCAAAGATAGAGAGAGAGAGTACACTCAGCGGAGTAGTACACTCCAGTTATCTGATAGATCAGAAAGAGAAAGTGAGAGAAAGGAACGGTAATTGAGGGGGAGGATTCGAGCTAGCGACAACGGCAGCAAAGCGGCTTAGCTAAAGCTGCAAAAGAAATAGAACTTTCGGTCTTGAAGATAGGATAGATAGATGTTCAGGAAAGATCAGCTAACCACTTACCACTCCTTGGTACTTCTGGTGGTTGACTAGTGGTGGTAGACTGACTGGCTGACTAGTGAAACAAACAAACAAACACACAAATACACAAACAAATCAGAGAACGCCAAACTGGTTGAAACGACAGACAGACACAGACTTCAGAGGGAGTTTTGAAGAGTGCAAGAGAGAAAACAAGCGAGTCAGAGTGCTGCTCAGAGTGTCACTCTACTTGCCGGAGGACACAGTACGCGAATGATAGGCTGGGACGATGATGATAGGCAATACAGTGCCCACTGGCACAGACGGCAGTCGTACAGTCGGCAGTCGGTCGATGGAAGAAACTCGCATGCGTTCGCTTTTTAGGGTGCGAGAAAGTTGAAAAAAGGGGGATCCTGGCGGTGGATCCTGGATCGGCGGCAACGGCAGCAGCCGTTGCTGGAACACACTAAAGGATGGTATATAGAGCGAGTACTCACCAGAGGACTTGTACTGGAGTGTGTTTCAAAGAGAGAGGCCAGAAAGGCACACCAGAAAACGGCGTCTCCGCTCTTGATCGCTGGTGAAAAAAAGAAGTAGAAACGCAGCAGCGACACCAAAAGTCTGCAATGTTTACCAAACAGCGGCGGCAGCAGCGGGCCACCACCACCACCAGCCGCGGCTACTGCCACCCAGCCCTCTCTCCCTCTCTGGCGACGACCGTTTCGACCCCAGCGGTGCGCCAGCGGCTGGAAAGCACGCTCTGCGCTGGCTGGCAGCAGCTGCACTTCCTTTTCTGTTGCAAGTTTTGCCTCGTGTGGACGACCGCCGCCAGCGACCAGCAGCAAAACACCTTTTTGAATCCTCTCTGGTACACCTCCGGAACTTCTAACCTCGGAAATGGTATGTTGTTAAGCTTTTGGCCACCATTGGTTGGCGTGATGTGCCCGAGGTGGGCGCCCCCGATTGGTGTGCCCGTGTGTGTTGGTCTGACTTGCACAAAGCACTAACAACAATGCTGTGTCTCCACCTTTCCTTCCTTCCCAGGGTATTGACATCAACCACAAGAACGACCGGAAGGTCCGTCGTACGGCGCCGAAGAGCCAGGATCCCTACCTGCTCCTGCTCGTCAAGGTACGGTCACTTTCGCCACTTTTTGTTGTTTACATGTCCTCTAATCTAAGAACCGTCTTCTACCTTTTTCCCTACCTGCAGCTGTACCGCTTCTTGGCTCGTCGAACCAACTCCAAGTTCAACAAGATCATCCTCAAGCGACTCTTCATGAGCAAGATCAACCGCCCGCCGCTGTCCCTGCGACGACTGGTATGCTGCTGTTGATGAGTTTCTATTTCTCAGACCTGCTAACACACTTCTTTTCTGCTACCTCAATCCACCCCCGCCAGGCCTCGCACATGAGCAGCGACGCTCGCCAGGAGAAGATCGCCGTCATCGTGGGCACCGTCACCGACGACGCCCGCCTCTTCGACGTGCCGAAGCTCTCCGTGGCCGCCCTCAACGTGACCAAGGGCGCCCGGGCGCGCATCCTCAAGGCCGGCGGTGAGATCATCACCCTCGACCAGCTGGCCACCCGCGCCCCCACCGGCAAGAACACCGTCCTCCTGCAGGGGCCGCGAAACGCCCGCGAGGCAGTGCGCCACTTCGGCCTGGCGCCCGGCGTGCCGCACAGCAGCACCAAGCCGTACGTGCGCGCCAAGGGCCGCAAGTTCGAGCGAGCCCGCGGTCGACGTGCCTCCCGAGCCTACAAGAAGTAAAGAGGTGGATGATACCCAAAAGGAAACACAACACCAACAACATCCTTCTTTTTCGAATTTGCTGTTGCTGCTGCTGTGTGTGTGTATTCTCTAGGCGTGAACACGTCAATAAAAAACAGCAAAATCTCTTCAACACAGGTTTTCTACCACCACTACTACTACTTCTTCATTCGAATGAGGCGGAGAAAGCGGGTCTCCTCGGCGAGCGAGGCCGCGTCCTGCTGGCCGCTCATCTGCCAGAAGAGCAGTCGCTGGTCGTGGTCGGCGGCAGAGGCAGTAGCTTCCAGAGGTGATGATAACTGCTGATAAGGAGGATGGTGATTGGCTCTAGTGGCAGTCCAAGTTGGGCTGTTGTTGTTGTTGTGATTGTTGTTGAGCAGACTGGTAAAGAGCGGAGGAGGAGGAGGGTGATGAGCACTTCCATTTCTATNAGAGGCAGAGGCAGTAACTTCCAGAGGTGATGATAACTGCTGATAAGGAGGATGGTGATTGGCTCTAGTGGCAGTCCAAGTTGGGCTGTTGTTGTTGTTGTGATTGTTGTTGAGCAGACTGGTAAAGAGCGGAGGAGGAGGAGGGTGATGAGCACTTCCATTTCTATTTCCACCCAATCCTTGGGCAGAGAAGCTCGCCATCGCAATGGCGTAATTGGACATTTGCAGCAGCTGCTGCTGCTGCTGACTGGAATCCTCATTTTCGAACTTCAAAATCTGATTCTGCTGATTCTGCTGCTGCTGCTGCTGTTGAATGGCACTGCCGCAGAGGTTGCAGACGATGCTCGCCCGCAGCTCGCCCACCGCCGCCCACTGCTGGTGGAGGGCGGCCCGCTCCGCCCTCAGCCGCTGCTCCTCCCCCCTGACCGCCCTCGCCGCCTCCTCCACCGCCGCCCACTGCCCCTCCACTTCCGCCTGGCGACTGTCCACCTCCTCGGCGGCGGCCACGCCGTCCAGCTTCTCCTTCAGCGCCACCTCGCTCAGCGCCTCCAGCTCCTCGGAGCGGCGGGCCAGGGAGCTGGCCAGGGCGGAGAGCGCCTCGCGCTCCCGAGCAAAGAGCTCTCCGCTGGCCGTCAGCTGCGCCCGGTCCGCCTCCAGGCGGAGCCGGTCAGCGGCCAAGGTCGCCTGTCCGCCTTCCAGCTCGGCTCTTTTCGCCTCCAGCTCCGCCTCCTGCTGGCGGACCTTCGCCTGGTCCTCCTCCAGCGCCCGCTTCCGCTCGGCGTAGAGCGTCTCGAGGAGGGCGCGGCGCTCCTCAAAGCTCCGCACATCGGCCCGCAGCGCCTCCCGCTCGTCACGCCACTTGGTCGCCTGGGCGCCCTCTCGCGCCCGCCACTCGCGGACCTCCTCAGAGAAGCGGCTTCTCAGCGCCTCAAGCTCCGACCGTTCGGCGTCGAGCTTCGCCCGGTCCGCCTCGTGGGCCTTTTGCTGCTGGTCGAGGTGACCACCGGTTTCCGAGGTGGCCCGTATCGTCTCCAGGGTGCTCTTCTGCGCGGCCTGCATCTGCGCCACAAAGTCCTTCCACTGACGCTCCAGGTCGACGGCTAAGGCGGTGGATGACTGTTGGTCAGTTGAAGAAGCAGCTGGGGGCGTTCCCTCCAGCGCCTGCTGCCGCAGCAGGAGGTCCTCCTGGCGGGCGACCACGGACTGCTGCAGCGCCTCGATGGCGTGCGCCGACGCCTCCCACTTCGCCAGCAGCTCCGACACGGAGCGACTGTGCGAGCGGAGCAGCTCGGCGGCGGTGGCCGTCGCCCGCTCCCCCTCCCCCTCCGCCCGCAGCCGCCCCTCCAGCCGCGTCAGCGCCTCCTGGTGGGCCTCGGCGGCGGCGGCCATCGCCGAGGAGTGGGCGGCCCTCAGGCGGCCCACGTCCGCCGCCCAGTCCGCCTCCAGCGTGGCCAGGCGCTGCTGGTGGCGGAAGCGGAGCTCCTCCGTCTCCGCCTGCGAGTGCTCCAGTGCGGAGCGGAGTTCGAGGATGCGCCGGTCGCGCTCCTCTTGGATCCTGAATGAATGGTAGAGTGAAAATTGTAAAGAAGATTCGAAAAAAATTGAAATCTCTCTTCTCTCTGCACTTCTTACATCTCCTCATGTCGCTTGTACATCTCCGAGGTCATGCGCATCTGCTGGCTAGTGTGTGAAAGANGTAGAGTGAAAATTGTAAAGAAGATTCGAAAAAAATTGAAATCTCTCTTCTCTCTGCACTCCTTACATCTCCTCATGTCGCTTGTACATCTCCGAGGTCATGCGCATCTGCTGGCTAGTGTGTGAAAGAGATTTGGTTGAGGTTAATTGAGGACTAATTAGGTAAAAAAAATTGTTGGCAAACTCACTCGTACAGCGACACCATCGACTGCAGCTCCTCACGCTGGTTCGCTTTCATCTGCGCCACCGTCTGCTCGAGAAAGCTCTTCTCCAGTGTCAGTAGGCGAAGCTGCAAGGAAAAAGAAAAAGAAAGTTGTTAGTTTTGAAACATGTTTTTTCTTTCTGAAAATCAAGAACAGTAGTTTAAATTAGCTAAAAGCTGAAACATTGTTACAGCAGCTGCCAAAGTAAGAAAAACCAGACAAATCGCATTAGACCCTAATTGAGTTTCTCGACAGCAAAAAGTGCTAATTTAATTAGCTACTCAGACTAAACTAGGAGCCAAAATAGAATAGCCTGACTGAAAGCCAGGCAAAACAGGAGAACTTACTTTAGTCTGCAGAAAGACGGCCGAGTTGCTGCTGTTGCNCCAGTGTCAGTAGGCGAAGCTGCAAGGAAAAAGAAAAAGAAAGTTGTTAGTTTTGAAACATGTTTTTTCTTTCTGAAAATCAAGAACAGTAGTTTAAATTAGCTAAAAGCTGAAACATTGTTACAGCAGCTGCCAAAGTAAGAAAAACCAGACAAATCGCATTAGACCCTAATTGAGTTTCTCGACAGCAAAAAGTGCTAATTTAATTAGCTACTCAGACTAAACTAGGAGCCAAAATAGAATAGCCTGACTGAAAGCCAGGCAAAACAGGAGAACTTACTTTAGTCTGCAGAAAGACGGCCGAGTTGCTGCTGTTGCTGGTCTCAGCAGGAACATCAGCCAAAGTAGTGAACACTGCCCCAGCACCTGTTCCCCTCTCCTGATCACTTCCGGGAGCAGTTTTCAATAAATCTCCCGCCTCCAAAGTTGATGCTGAAGTCGTTTGCGCGCTTGGTATTTCGTTTAAAACCGGTGCACTAGATGGCTGCTGCTGCTGCTGCAGTGATTGTGCTGACGGTACAGCAAACTGTTCCGTTGCTGCTGCTGCTGCTGCTGGCGGTTTATTCGGCGCTGCAGCCGGTGCACTTGAAACGTTTCCAGCCAATGTATCCACCACCNATGATGATGATGATGATGATGACGATTCCCTTGTTTCAACTGCTGCTGTTGAAGCTGTGGGCTGCTGNCTGGTCTCAGCAGGAACATCAGCCAAAGTAGTGAACACTGCCCCAGCACCTGTTCCCCTCTCCTGATCACTTCCGGGAGCAGTTTTCAATAAATCTCCCGCCTCCAAAGTTGATGCTGAAGTCGTTTGCGCGCTTGGTATTTCGTTTAAAACCGGTGCACTAGATGGCTGCTGCTGCTGCTGCAGTGATTGTGCTGACGGTACAGCAAACTGTTCCGTTGCTGCTGCTGCTGCTGCTGGCGGTTTATTCGGCGCTGCAGCCGGTGCACTTGAAACGTTTCCAGCCAATGTATCCACCACCACTACATTGGAGCGTGGATTCCAAGGACGGGTGGAAGTGGAGGCGGAGGGCGGTGGCTGGGAAGGCGGTGGCGGGTCAATGGAGGTGGGCGGTGTTGCAGTTGTCGGCTGCAGAAATGAAGGCAGTCGACTGGATGATGATGATGATGATGATGACGATTCCCTTGTTTCAACTGCTGCTGTTGAAGCTGTGGGCTGCTGTTTGGCAGCTGCTGAACGAGCCCTCAGCCCGGCGGTGATCCAGTCGTCAGGCTCCCCGGTGGCAGCGCCTTTTCCGCCTGAAACCGAAGCGGAGGAGGAGGAGGCAGAAGAAGATGGCAGATTCCCTAGGGCCCGAGCAGCAGAAGAAGTAGAAGTAGAAGAAGAAGACTGTTGCTCACTTGTGGTTGATCTTCTCTGAGGAGGTGGATGGTCATCGCTCTCCGACAGTCCCAGCCAGTCGGCCTGCTTCGATCGATTGGATGAACCGAGGTCTGAGGAGCGGGGTCTAGGCTCACTTGCCTGGCCGCCGCCACCACCACCACCACTTCGACCTCGACCTCCACTGAGCAGTGAGTCTAGTGTTGAGCTGTGTGGTCGNCGACCTTCTCGGAGGATGTTCATCGCTCTCCGACAGTCCCAGCCAGTCGGCCTGCTTCGATCGATTGGATGAACCGAGGTCTGAGGAGCGTGGTCTAGGCTCACTTGCCTGGCCGCCGCCACCACCACCACCACTTCGACCTCGACCTCCACTGAGCAGTGAGTCTAGTGTTGAGCTGTGTGGTCGATTGCTTCGGGATGTTGAAGAGGAGGAAGAGGAAGGCTGTTGCTGCAGTTCGTCCTGGTCATCAGGGTCGTCGAAGAAGCGCACCGACTTTCGTGTTCTGCTCTGTGAAGTCGTGGGCTGCGACGAGGAGGAGTCGAGGGGATCAGTGCCGAGGAGGTCATCGAGAAAGGAGCGACCGCCACCGCCGCCGGCAGATTTGGGACGAAGCATCTTCTTCCTCTTCTTATTCTCTTCTAAGAACTTTTGCAATTAAAAGACAGCCAGTGTGTGGTCGGGGCTCAGAGCACTTCTTGAATCAATTGCCCAAGTGGGGATGCTAAAGGAGGAGAGAAAGAGGAAAAAGAGAAATAAGAAAAAAGAAATTGAGAGCGAATCCAGCCGATAATTAGCTTCGTTGCTCGGTCGTTCTGTGTGTGTGTGTGAGGAAAATTGAATTTGCCCGTGTGTAATGCAATTAGAAAGTGGTGGAAGGAGAAGAAGAAGGAGAAGTTAACCCTCGTTTCGACAATGTCTGTCAGAGAGGAGGAAGGAAAGAAGGAAAGAAAGAAAGAGTGTATCGCTTGCTTCAATCGATTGCTTCATCGAGAGCGAAAGAGAGAAAGACAGCTGCCGTCTTCTTCTTCTCCTCCAATTACCGTCAAAAGGCAAAAATAAATCAAGTGTAAAGAAGAAGAAGAAGGGAAATATAGGAAAAAAGAAAGGTCTTTCCCCCCCCCCTTTTTCGGAGGATCCAGGATTCAGGCGGCCGCGATTGACTAGGCTAGGCTAAAGAGAAGACGGAAAAAACAGTGCAAGTGCCAGCGCCGGGTTGAACGATGGCCTCGACCTGGCTACTTCTTGTTCTTTTTCGTTTTCTTTTTCCTATTAGAAGGTCTCAAGCGTTCTCACTGTGAGATCGATGACAGAATTCACACACACAAGACCGCGGCACTTGTTTGCTGAGCACTGTACTCTCTCTCTGTACTCTGAAATCGAAATTGCGGCACACAGCAGGCGGCAATCAATTTGCTGGTGCCTGGTCGAGGAGAACTCTACCTACCCACCACTTCTCGGTAGTAATCTTCGAGGGGGCAAAAAGGTGATAAAAAGAAAAAAGAGGATGGAGTATCGCATCATACCTTGGAAGAGGCGCTATATATCCCTGGTTGGCGCTTCAATTATTAACAATATGATGATGATCGCAAAAACAAAACAATGGAGGCATTCACAGCAGATCAGATGATGATAGTGGTGGTGGTGGTGATGATCAAGAAGATGGGAAAAGGATAAAGAATGCTCACTCTTTCTCAATGTCTGCTTCCGAATTGTGTTTGCTCGGGCGCTCCTCTGTTTTGCTTGCCGTTTTCAGGCTTCCAGTTCTCTGTTTCGCTTTTGTTTGAGTTCAACTTTTTGTTTTTGTTTTTTCCTCCCGTTGATTTTCGAGCAGCAGCAGAGGTTGCCCGGTTTTTGTTGTTCTCTCCCGGATTGTTTTCTTCTCCCCTCTAAGCCTTTTGTTTTTCTTCAATATTTATATTAACAGCGGAAAAAAGGAGGAATGCTGGGACCCGAATTGATTGAGATGAGGGAGAACATTGGACGAGAAGAAGAAGAAGAAGCAAGAAGAGGCAAGAGAACACCGGCTCAAGCTGCTGCTGCTGCTGCTGCTGTATACTTCTGTCATTAGCAGGCAGCAACGGCGAGTTCATTTATCTTCATCGAGGAGAAAGGAAAAACGGACGTTTTTCTGCTCTTACTCAGCTTGAATTTGGCGATTCGGGAACGAGGACACAGAGAGTTGCTGCTAATGAAATTGTTTGACAACGACGACGCCGGCACCAAATGACGACAACCAACAACGACGACGACGAGGACGATCACCAGCGCCACCCACTGTGGCTGGGGCGATTTGTTTTCATTTTCATTTCTCCTTCAGGAATTCGGTTTACTTTTGTCGCACTTTTCAGCAGAAATTTCACAGACTTGGCTCTAAATCATAAAATTGTTTGCACCTTGATTAATTTGTAATGTTGCTGACTACTGTCCCATCGACATGAATGCAAAAAAGCTGCTGCCGCAAACATTTCGGCCGTGTTGTCATGGAGACATACACAGTCATCGAACTTTTGCAAACAAAACAGCTTCCACCAGAGTACAATTTTGAAAAAAGCGATATTTTTAGCTGAACTCTAAACTAAACAAACGCACTGTTTTTTGCGGAATAATTTTTTGCTTTATTTTTGTGTTTTAACTGTCCCCGAGGACACTTTTCAGGTCAGCTGCTGCTGCTTATGCACACACACTACCTAAAAGCCTTCTGCGCTGCCCTGAAAAAAAGAACCTTTCTCTCCAGCAAGCAAACGGTTGACCAGTCGGTACTATCGCCCAACTCTAGCAGCCTTTAAATTATTCAAACACACTAAAACCTCTTCCACCACCACCACCGTCAAAAAAAGAGGAAGAGAAGAGAAGGACACTGAAAAAGAAGCTGAAGAAGAAGAGGAACCCAAGGATTCTACTCAAATACTGGTGGAAAGGAGCAGCAGCAGTAGTACCAAATTATTAATGCCACTACTAATTCCAGCAGCAGTGGTAGTACCCGGGCAGCACACTGCAGCAGCAGCAGCTATTCCAATTCTTCAGTCCTCCCGGTTTTCCAATTAATTTACCATTCTCTCTCTCTCTCTCTCTTTCACTCTCATTGGGTTAGGAGACGGTATTTTGCTGTGATGTAAAGCACTGCGCTGCTGTGCTGTGATGATGCTCTACCACCTTTCCTTTGCACTTTCACTTTCAAGCACTGAAGCCNATTGGGTTAGGAGACGGTATTTTGCTGTGATGTAAAGCACTGCGCTGCGCTGCGCTGTGATGCTCTACCACCTTTCCTTTGCACTTTCACTTTCAAGCACTGAAGCCTCTCTGAATCTCTCAACAGAAGCAGATTGCCTGGATTCAGCTGCTGCTGCCGCCGTTGCTGCCGCCGCCGTTGTTGTTGTCGTGTCAGGAGAGGATTGCTCTGTTGTGTCAAATCCGGGCGCACCCTGGATTGTTGTGTCAGCGAGAGCGGGGACAGCATTTCAGCTGGGAGCAGCTCGTCCGTCCGTCCACCACAGTTCGTAAAGTTGCGCCTGATTATTATTATTACTACCATTACAGGCAAAGGAAAGGCAAAGTGTGTGTGTTGACGATGTTGGCAATGGCCATGGCCATGGTGATGGTGAAAGAGTGGCTCCACTCTAATTAGCATTCAAATTCTCATTTGCTCGGCATAATTCTCCCTCTCTGCTCTTTTGCTGCCTCCATATGCCAGCTCCAATTCAAATGAGTCAGAGAAAGTGCAGTCGTGCAGTGATGTGCTCGTGCAGGGAAAGGAAATGAAAGTGAGAGAGAGATCTCGAGAGAGAGAAAATAACTTTTTGGTAGCCAGTGAGGCAAAAGAAAGAGGGAAAGAGCAAGGCTTGTTATGCTTCCTACTCGACCCTGAGTTGCTCTCACTACCACCACCAGCATCATCATCATCGTCCTCTGAGCCAGCAGTGCAACACTCTCTCCCAATTAATCGGAGGCACTGAGTCCACACAATTGCAGGAGCTAGAAGTGAGATTTGAAATTGCACCGAATTGCCGCCGCCGTTGCTGCTGTTGATCGAGTCTCATCAGTTCTTTGGGCACATTTTAGCAACATTGGAGCGGGTGCACTACTACTTTTTCTACTTACTAGACTATTACAGCTTGGGCTGGCGGCTCCCCTAATGGCGGCAATTACCCGATAGCGGGAAGTGTTATTGGTTGCGGTGGTGCTGGTGGTGGTGCTGGTGGCGGCGGTAGTGTTAATGGCTGCTTTTCAAAGTGCTCTTCTACTTCTAAGCTTCTTCTTATCAGGGGCTCAGCCGTCCANATTGGAGCGGGTGCACTACTACTTTTTCTACTTACTAGACTATTACAGCTTGGGCTGGCGGCTCCCCTAATGGCGGCAATTACCCGATAGCGGGAAGTGTTATTGGTTGCGGTGGTGCTGGTGGTGGTGCTGGTGGCGGCGGTAGTGTTAATGGCTGCTTTTCAAAGTGCTCTTCTACTTCTAAGCTTCTTCTTATCAGGGGCTCAGCCGTCCATCAGCTCGAGGAGGAGCGCCTTCAGCAGCCGCGCCTCGTAGGTGACGGTGTTCCGGCCCGGGTGGAGCGTCTCCAGCTCCAGCGGCGCCTCCACCACCGCCTTCACATTGCGCCCGTGCACCTCGGCGCTGGTGAGGAAGGCGAGGCACTCCTCGAGGACGCCGTCCCGCACCACCATCACCTGGCGGGCCATCGCCTCGAGCATGGCGAGGAAGCAGCGCTTCGCGTAGAACCAGGTGTCCGTGCCGAGCTTCTTGGGAAACGGGTCCAGGCTCTTGATCACCCGGCTGATGCCGAACTCGTAGTTGCCCTTGCTGCAGTACAGCGTCCCGATCACCAGGTTGACGATGCACAGGTGGAAGACCTTCTTCTGCTCTCCGGCGTCGGCCACCGCCCCCAGCAGCGCCTCCTCCTCCTCCTTCTCGATCTTCCGCATCAGCTCCTCGGCGTCCTCATTCTGCCCGGTCATGATGTAGCTGACGCAGAGGTTGGCGAGGACGATGGCGCTGACGTTGAGGATGCGGTCGTAGCTGCGCCGCACCAGCTGCTCGTAGAAGCCGGTCGCCTCCTTGAACTTGTTCTCCTGGTGGTGGAATTAGGTAAAGGAATTAGATAATTTGATAAGTCATTAAAGGCGTGAGCGTCCTTACCTGCATGAAGAGAACGTGGGCGACGTTGAGCTTCCACAGGTCGAGGTCGTTGCAGAACTCCGCCGACTTGCGGAAGACCTTCTCGACGTTGGCGTACGCCTCCAGCTCCCAGTAGATCTTCGCCTGCGCCATCAGCACGGGAATGTAGAGGGCCAGCGTCTCCTCGTGGGCGGCCGTCAGCCGCTTCAGCGTCTCTCGCTGCCGACTGGCCACCGAGGCGGGGTTGTTCGGCGTTGGCGGGCCGCCAGAAGAGGAGGAGGAGGTGGTGGTGGTGGACTTTAAATTTGGCTCAATCGAACCATCGCCTCCTCCAGGACCTCCACCGCCTCCATCAGTGACCGCCTGCAGCTTCGCCCGCGCCTCGGCGATCTGCTTCGCCTGCCGCCGCAGGGCGTCGGTGTGGCGGGCGGCCAGCTCGTCGAAGCGCTGATAGGCCTCCTCGGGCGACGTCTGCTGGGTGATGAGCGCGTCGAGGAACTCGTAGAGGTACGGGGACAGGTAGCGGTAGGTGTAGGTGGCGTTCTCCGCCATCAGGTCGGCCGCCAGCTCGAAGTAGTCGTGCTTGCAGTAGAGCAGCAGCAGATTGGCGAAGGTCTCCGGGGGAAAGTTCGGCGGCCCATTGGCCGGGCCCTGGGCTCCCTGGTCCGTCCCCGTCCCTTGGCCGATGAGAAACTGCAGCTTCTCAAAGCCCTCCACCGGGTTGCTGTCCATCGAGAGGAGGGCAATGTTGTGCAGCGTCACCGCGTCCAGCTCCTCCTCCGCCCGGGGCGGCATGTCCGTCAGCGCCTCCCGCGCCGCCTCCAGGTTCTTCAGCTGGTACTCGATGGCCGCCCGCAGGTTAAAGGCCTCCACCAGCGCCGACTCGTGCAGCGTCTCGGTGTTGCCGACGCTGCGCACCTCGATGCCGCCCTCGGTGTTGGCGCCCACCGCCAGCTCCGGGTGCTCCTCGATGCCCTGTTCGATGATCTCGCCGATGTAGGCGGCCGCCTCGCCGTACCGCCTCAGCTGGTAGTAGCTGACGGCGAGGTTGTAGAGCAGGTCCGGTTTGCGATTCGTTGAAGCATTCGTTGATGCTGCTGAAGAAGAGGACGCCGTGGTTGCTGATCGAAGAGCCGACGACTTTCGAAGGTCTTTGTTGTTGGCGCTGCTGGCGAGGCTATTTACACCTCCGCTGTTTCCACTGCCGCCGCCGCCCCTTTCCAGTTGAATGTTCGTGGCGCCTCGAACGCCCGGCGTCGATCCTCGGCTCTGATTTAGATTCAGCGCCTCCACCTGAAGGCAGCTGTTGAACTTCTCAATTGCCTCCTCGTAGCGCTTCTCCTTGTAGAGGAGGCAGCCCAGATTCGCCTCCCGGTCCACCAGGTGCATCCCACTGCTGTGGCTGCCGCCGCTTGCCTGGCCATCGGTGGGCATCTGCTCCAGCAGGGCGCGGGCCGCCAGCGTGGGCTCCTCCTCCTGGGCGTACTTGATTGCCGCCTGCAGCTTGATCAGCTCCGCGGCGGCAAAGTCGTCGTAGTGGTCCGCCTCGCGGCTCTTTCTGAGTGCCGCTGATTTCTTTGCCTGGTCACCGAGGAGGGAGTTGTTCTCCGCAACTGAAGCGCCTTCTCCAGCGTGGTTGTTGCTGTTGTTGTTACCGTTGGTCGAGGAGCCGTTGTTGTTGTTGTTGTTGTTGGTGTTGAACTTTTCCGCGTATCTAACGGCCGTCTTGAGCGCCTTCTCGTAGTCGCCCGTCTGGAAGAGGCACTTGGCGTAGTTGAGCAGGTAGCTCCGCTGTTCGGGATACAGCGTGATCAGCTGCTCGTAGCACTGCAACGCCCCGTTGAAGTCCTGCAGTGTGTAGTGGCAGTAGGCGAGCAGGGAAAGAGCCGCCCGGGAGTTCGGATTGCCGTACAGTTCGTCGGTGAGGACGGCCATTGCCTCGCGGTAGTTTCCTGGTGAAAGTGTTTGGTTGGTTGGTTGGTGGAAGTTAATGGTAAGTTCGAAATGAAAGAGTGTATGTTTCAAAGGTTTGTTTGTTTACCTTCTCGAATCCAGCGGTAGATCGTCTGNAATAACAATAGTCATTTCAAATAGAACTGTCTAAGAATACGTGTCAGCTCAA